CCACTCCCCCTGCTTGTGTTCTCCCTCTCTCTCTCTCTCTGACAAATAAATAAATAAAATCTAAAAAAATAATTAATTAATTTAGGTCTCATGACAAGAACCTAGCAAACCAATTTGGGTTTATTCACTTATTTGCTTTTTGCATCATTATAGAGAGTATTTGAGGGAAACAACCATTTGTATTTTCCATCTGGATTTCCATTTCTCTTGCATGTCATTGGGATTCTCTCCACTTTTGTGATACTTATCTTACTTGATATCCAAGACCATGACTATTCTACTGATTAAATTATTAAACTCAGAAAATTCAAAAAAGATTACTAAAATTCCAGGATCCTATGAACTATTACAGCAAATGGCTTCTAGTATCAAATTATTTCAATATGACAGAAATAGATTCAAAGATATCTGAATTGTTCTTTTCATTGGATACATTTTATTTTAAACAGTACCTTCAGGGCTGATCGAAATATGTATAAAAATACAAAATAGTTGTTTACTGATATAAGTGCTGACACATTTAACTCTCTTGCCATTGGCCATAGATGCATTATAACAGGATAAATGTACATTACTGTTATAACATGTCCTGCATATTCAAATTCTTCTGAAAATACCACGTGATATACAAAAAGCAGAAATTTATTATTCCTGGGGAAAAAAGAGATCAATAAAATGTTAGATCACTTTAAAAACATAACAATTGAGATCTGAAGTTCAACATTTGTTTTAACAAATCATTAATTTGAAGAAGAATATAAAAATATAAAATAAATAAGCAGAAACCTAAAGCATACTTTCTGTACATAATCATCATGGAGAAAGATAAAAATATAGCTCTTATTAATCTATATCAGGATGGGGAGCACTTTTTAAAATCAAGTCTAATAGTACATAGGAAACAAGGCAAAGATTCATTCATCAAAAGCAAGAAACAAGTAAATATAGAGAAAAATAGCAGCATCACTTAAAAGTAAGAACAGGAAACATATTCCATTCAGGAATTACCATGACATATATATTTTTTTAATTTTTCCAATCCATCCTAAGTAGAGCCTAACAAAAAGTAGTTATCTAGATATATGTCAAAACCCTAGGGTTTTAATTCCTTCTATTTCTCTTCAAACTTAATACATGGAAAAAAGTTTAAAAATTATCAGGATTTGTTATGAAAGGTATGTCAACACTCAAAATTTAGTAGCATGAATTTTTCTGATATTTCTCATTTTTATATCTTTTGTTAATAGAAAAACCTTGTCTTGTCTTCCTGCTCTAAGTTCACAACTTATGATAAAACAAAGAGTTTACACAAGTTAAGTATATCTGTATCTTGTGATATTTTGGAAGATTGGTTACAGGTATTATTAAGGCCATGTTGTATTTTTCCTAGTTATGGACATTAACGGAATCACCCCATGGCACAGATGAAATTGAGAGGAAAATGTAGGCTATGAGTTTGATATTTCTCTCCCCTGCTCAATGTTATACCCAGAAGAATATGAAAGCAGTCCAGTTTGTAATATGACCCTAAGACATGGCAATTGCCACTTAAAGAGTCCAAATATGACCAGTCCTGTTTCTTCTTCCTACCCACTCTCTAATAGAGGTATCAACAAAGTTGCTTAAACAGAATGAAGAGAAGCAAGTGCTCTGCTCCTTCACCACTTGATCAATAAGAGTTGACCATAATATTAGTTAATTTTTTAATAAGGAAAATCAATTTACTCAATGTTGACAATGTGGAAAAGGTCATATTATTAAGTATATTGCTATTAAAGGTTTACAATACCTACCCATACATAATAAGAGATGCCTTATCTTTATGATATTCCAAGAAAGCTAACATGTTTTTAAACTTCATAAGCCAACTTCTAGCTCTTACATAAGTTGAAACATCATAAATACTCATGAATCTAACAGAGAAAAATAGACATATATGTTAAAATAAAAATAAAGTGCTATACTTTGGGGTAATATAAAAAGGGAAAGTTTATTAAAAATGCTCTGTCCTGAGCCTCTGTATCCATCCACCTACCCACCCACGGTCGGGTACAGGAAACCCCTGCTGCCTCTGTCCCTGGAACCATTCTTGACTTGAGGTAGAACATAATTAAAGCTTCTCCAGACCAATTCTTTGGGGTTCAGAATCAAGCTCCCCTTTGTCAAGCCTCGCCTAGCTCCAGCCTCTCCAAGGCCCTGAAGGCCCTATCCTTCCCAAACTTTAGGAACTGATATTAGATCTCCCGGATAGATTACCAGACTGTTGAAATGTTAACTATCACCTGGCAGGATTTCCTATCATTGTTGCGCCCACAAGCTTTGTCTTGGATCATCCATTAATGAATGCTTGCCAGGACTATGACCATATATAGACATATCTCCAAGATACTTGAACTTTTCCTATCAAATTTAATTGCACTGCCAAGGTCCATCAGTTAGGTCAATTCCTTCAAGGCTTGCTCCACCTGACTAATGGCAGGCTCCAGGTTTCCCTACCTACCTTTATCCAGTAACTTAGTAAACATGATACAAAGAAAAGATAAATATAATAGTACATGAAATTACATAGGTTCTCTTTCATGGCTCCCCTAGTCTCTTATTTAATTACACTGTAGTCAGATATTCCTCCAGAATCTCCTATTGACACCAAAGTTATGAACCTTCAGTGGGAAAAAATGTAAACAAGTAAAATAAGAAGTAGATGGATATATGGATGGATAGACAGATAGATGAAGATAGGTGAGAGAAATAGATTGATCAATCTGGACATTTAACTCTCAGTTTGATTTTTTTTTTTACCATATACCCATTTGATTTTGGAAATAACAATTTAAGAAGTATTATACTTACTTTCCTTGGATGGGGCAATAGGTTTTGGTTGCACCAATTAATATCCGGGCTGCCTCTACACTGAGGATTCCATCATTACACTGTTTTTCAAAGCTACTCTAAACATACAATTTTAAATAAACATTACAAAGGACCAAACATAATATAATATAATATATTCTGCTTTACCTTTACATAGCCCTCACTATTAGTACTGAATTCATTATAGGAAAGTATACTTTTACCAGAAAAATCCTGTAGCAGCAAAAAAATTCATTCAATTTAAATATTTACTGAATATTCATCTTTTTGCAAAGTACTATCCTGGATGCAAGAAAAGATACCAAGTTTCCTAGCTTCAGAAACTCAAAATCTATAGAAGTCAGAGTTTTCTTTAGTAATATAAACAGCATCATAGCATCATCTTTCTGCAGCAGGATAGTGCAAAGTATTAATTCAAAGGTTAACTAATCATCTCAACCTCTTAAAGAACTACCAAGAGAGAAAAGTAAATTGTGTTCTTTTTTTTTCCCTTTTTGCTAGGTTTATTGTGATATAATTGACATGTAACATTGTGTAAGTTTAAGGTGTACAATGTGATGATTTGATACACTCATATATATTGCAAAATGGTTACAACGGTAAGATTAGTTAACTCATCCATTATCTCACATAATTACAACTTTTTGTGCGTGATTGTGTGTGATTTAAGATCCACTCTCTTAGTAACTTTCAAGTATATAATATAGAATTGTTATAGTCACCGTGCTGTATATTAGAGCCCCAGAATTTATTCATCTTATAACTGGAAGTTTGTACACTTTGGTTAACATCGCCTCCATTTCCCTTACCACCCAATCCCTGGAAACCACCATTTCACTCTGTTTCTATGAGTTTGACTTTCTTTTTTTTTTAGATTCCACACATAAGTGAAATCATACAATATTTGTCTTTCTCTGTCTGACTTATTTTACCTAGCATAATGTCCTCAAATCACAAATGACTGTTCTGTGGTTGAATAACATTCCATTAGATTGATAGATGATAGATGATAGATAGATAGATAGATAGATAGATAGATAGATAGATAGATGATAGATAGATAACATTTTCTTTATTCATCCATCAGTGGACACTTAGGTTGTTTCCATGTCTTGACTATTGTGAATAATGCTGAAAGAAACATGGGAGTAGAGAGATCTCCTTGAGACCCTATTATCATTTCCTTCTGACGTATACCAGTGGGGTTGCTAGAATATATGATAGTTCTAGCTTTAATTTTTTGAGGAATCTTTAGATCATTTTCTGTAGTGACTGTATCAATTTACATTCCCACCAACAGTGCACAAGAGTTCCCTTTTCTCCACATCTTAGCCAACATATATCTCTTGTGTTTTGGGGGATAGTCATTCTAACAGATGTGATGTGATATCTCATTATACTTTTTTTTCAAGTTATTTTAGTCACCTGGTGGTCATCACAAGTGCATTCCTTTATCCCCATCACCTATTGCATTCATCTCCCTACCCACCTCCCCTCAGTTTGTTCTCTATAGTTCTGTTTCTTGGTTTGTCTCTATCTCTCTATATTTTCCCTTGGTTTGTTTTATTTCTTAAATTCCATATATGAGTGAAATTATATGGTATTTGTTTTTCTCTGACTCACTTGCTTCATTTATCATTATACTCTCCAGCTCTATCCATGTCGTTGCAATATTATACCACTTCTTTATCCATTCATCAATCAATGGACACTTGGGCTGCTTCCATATCTTGGCTATTATAAATAATGCTGCTATAAACATAGGGGTGCATGTATCCCTTTAAATTAGGGGTTTTGTATTCTTTGGGTAAATACCCAGTAGTGTGATTCCTGGATCAGAGGGTGGTTCTATTTTAACTTTTGAGGAACCTCCATACTGTTTTCCACAATGGCCACACCAGTTTGCATGCCCACCAACAGTGCAAGAGTGTTCCCTTTTCTCCACATCCTCACCAATACCTGTTGTTTCTTGTCTTGATTTTAGCCATTCTGACAGGTGTGAGGTGATATTTCTCTGTAGTTTTGATTTGCATTTTCCTGATGATCAGTGATGATGAACATCTTTTCATGTGTCTATTTGCCATCTGCATGTCTTGTTTGGAGAGGTGTCTGTTCATGTCTTCTGCCCATTTTTTAATTGGATTATTTGTTTTTTGGGGTGTTGAGTTTTATGAGTCCTTTATATATCTTGGATATTAACCCTTTATCAGATATGTCATTTGCAATATATTTTTTTCCATTCCATAGGTTGTCATTATAGTTTTGATTAGCATTTCCCTGATGATTAGTTACATTGAGTACCTCTACATGTGGTTGGCCATTTGTATGTCTTCTTTGGAAGTGTCTATTCAGGTCCTCTGCCTATTTTTAATCAGATTATTTGGGTTTTTTTCTATAGACTTTTATGAGTTTCTTATATTTTTTGGATATTAACCTCTTATCTGACATAAGGTTTGCAAATAATTTCTCCCATTCTATAGGTTGCCTTATCATTTTATTGATTATTTTACTGTTCAGAAACTTTTTTAGTTGCAGTTGCTTCTATTGCTTGTGTCTTGGGTGATATATTAAAAAATTGGTTGTCAAGACCAATGTCAAGGAGCTTTTTCTTTGTGTTTTCTTATAAGAGTTTTATGGTTTCAGTCTTATATCTAAATCTTTAATCCATTTTGAGTTAATTTTGTGAGTGGTATAAGATAGAGGCCCAATTTCATTCTTTTGCATGTGAATCCCCAGGTTTCCCACAATTTATTGAAAACACTAACTCTTCCTCATTGGTATTTTTCACTCTCTTGTCAAATATTAGTTGACCATACATGCATGGGTTTATTTTGGGTGTCTCAATTCTGTTCTGTTGGTCTATGTGTCCGTTTTTATGCCAGTACTATACTGTTTTGGTTACTATAGCTTTGTAGTATAGTTTGAAATCAGGAAGTGTGATGCCTCCAGCTTTGTTCTTTCTCAAACGTGCTTTGGCTATTCAGGTTCTTTTGTGGTTTTATACACATTTTTGGATTGTTTATTCTATTTTTGTGAAAAGGGCCATTGGTATTTTGATAGAGATTGCATTGAATCTATAATGGCTAAGTAATATAGGCGTTTTGACAATATTAATGTTTCTGATCCATGAACATATCTTTCCACTTATTTGTGTCTTTTTCAATAACTTTCATCAGTGTTGTTTAGTTTTCATTGTACAGATCTTTCACCTCCTTGGTTAAATTTATTTCTAAGAATTTTATTGATTTTAATGCTATTGTAAATGGCATTATTTTCTTTAATTCTATATCACAGAATTCCTTGTTAATGTATTTAAATACAAATGATATTTTTATGTTGATTTTGTATTCTGCAAATTTACTGAATTTGTTTATTAGTTTTAACAGTTTTTTGGTGGACTCCTTAGGGTTTTGTTTTTTTTTTTTTAAGATTTTGTTCATTTATTTGAGAAAGAGAGAGAGTGAGAGATCATGAGTGGGGGAGGGGCAAAAGGAGAGGGAGAAGCAGACTCCCCACTGAGCAGGGAGCCCAATGCGGGGCTCCAACTCAGGACACCGGGATTCTGGCCTGAGCCAAAGGCAGCTGTTTAACCAACTGAGCCACCCAGGTGCCCCTTATGGTTTTCTATATGTAAGATCATGTCATGTGCAAACAGAGACAGTTTTACTCCTTCCTGTCTGATTTGGATGCCTTTTCTTCCTTCCTTCCTTCTTTCCTTCCTTCCTTCCTTCCTTTCTTTCTTCTTCTTTCTTCTTTCTTTCTTTCTTTTTGCCTGTTTTCTCTGACTAGGACTTTTAGTACTATGTTGAATAGGCATGGTAAGAGTGGGAATCCTTGTCTTGTTCTTCATCTTGGAAGAAAGCTTTCAACTTTTCACCATTGTGTATGATGTTAGCTGTGGGTTTGTTACATATGGTCTTCATTATACTGAGGTATGTTTCTTCTATACACAATTTGCTGAGAGTTTTTATCATGAAAGGATGTGGAATTTTGTTAAAAGCTTTTTCTGCATCTATTGAGAAAATCATATTATTTTATCTTTCATTCTACCAATGTGGTGTTTGACTGAATTGTGGATATTGAACCATCCTTGCATCCCAGGGATAAATCCCACTTTATCATGGTTCATGATCCTTTTAATGTGCTGTTGAATTTCATTTGCTAGTATTGTGTTGAGAATGTTTGCATCTGTATTTTTCAACAGTATTGATTTGTATTTATCTTTTCTGGTAGTGTCCTTATCTGGCTTTTGGGTATCAGGATAATGTTAACCTCATAAAATGAGTTTGGGAGTGTTCCCTTCTTTCAATTTTTTGAAAGACTTTGAGAAGGACTGGCATAAATTTCTTCTTTAAAACGTTTGGTAGGGGGGCGCCTGGGTGGCTCAGTCGTTAAGCGTCTGCCTTC